CTTCTCTCCTGTGGAACTCTCTTCTGATTTCTTATTTCCCTACCAATTACACTCTTAAAAAATTTAAATACAATGTCAACATCCATCTTCTGTCTTCTTGAGACCTGTTCCATTATTGTCCTTTTCCTCATATCTCCTCATTAAAGTCTTCTAATTCTATTTCACTCCCTGTAGCTTCTGCATCCTAGTGGTATTAACACCTTGTTTGGGGTGAAATGATTACTAAAAATATATATATATATATATATATATATATATATATATATATATATATAGCAACTTGGATTTAGGAATCAGAGAGTTGAGTTCAAATTCCAGTCGAATCCATTACATTCACTTACATGCTAATACTCTTGGGAAAGGTATGAATCCTCTTCTTCTCCCTCCAGCGATAGGTAAATAGCAGGGCAGACTGGGTTCTATAGCCTTGGATGGCAACTAGTCTAGGAGAAGGACAACTCTGAATTCAAAAAATCTGCAGAGGGTCGTTTGGGGACTCTGTGGTACATAGTGCACCAAGTCTCTGTATTCGGCCCTTCAAAAAGTGTGGATGGTTCTGCACAAAACCTCGACCACTACAATCAAATCTCATGTGCTGGTGTCGGGCTGTCAGTTTCCTAGGAACTGATCTGCTAGACCCTCATATGTTGAAGGGACATTGCACACAGATGAAGACTCAAATTTGACTAAAACATAAGCAACACCACAACTGGTGTCAGTTTGGCTTAAGCAACTCAAGAAACAAGAAAAGAAAAAAGAAAATATTAAAATTAAATAAAAAGTTATTAGATGTATTATTTTTATACTATATTCAAGAATTCTACCAATTTTAGTAGTTTACAAATATCTTTCTTTTCTATTTTTCTAGCAAAAACTTTTAAGCAAACATTTAAGGAATATAAGTACTAATTCTTATGTAAAAAAGTACCTATCAAAATCCTATGTTGTTTATAAAAGAAATATCATATACACTTACTTAAAGGCCTTTGAAGGCACCTATTAAACCTAATGCTACAACACTTCTAATAAAATGTTGCTAAAAACTTTTCCTCAGCCAAGAAGTGATTTTTTTTAAAAATTTTTAATGATTAGGACAGAATGTATAGTTGTCACTAAAAGGGGGCATCCCACCATGTGAATTACAAATTAGAGATACCAAAATAGAAAAAGGCAATAATTTAAATTTAAATATCTAGGAAGTGTTTTAACAGAGGAAAGAATGTGTGACACTGAAATCCAAAGCAGATTGGGTTTGTGGAAGATGCCTTCCAAAAGTTAAAAAAAAGTATTAAGAAACTGGAAAATTTCATAACAAGTAAAGAGTGAGAAGGCACAGTGTAGTAATGGATAGTGGCTCGGATCGGAGAGCTGAGTTCGAATTCCAGTCGAATCCATTACATTCACTTACATGTTAATACCCGTGGGAAAGATATGAATCCTTTTCTTCTCCCAATTATGGATAAATAGTAGGACAGACTGTGTTCTATAGCCTTGGATGGCAACTAGTCTAGGAAAAGGACAACTCTGAATTCAAAAATCCTGCAGAGGGTTGTTTGGGGACCCTGTAGCATGTAGTGCACCAAGTCTCTGTATTCGGCCCTTCAAAAAGTGTGGATGTTTCTGCACAAAACTTTTACCACTATAATCAAATTTCATGTGCTGGTGTCAGGCTTTCAGTTTCCTAGGAACTGATCTGCTAGACCCTCATATGTCGAAATTGACAGGAGAGTCGAAATATATATATATATATATATATATTTAAAATTTTATCTTTAGTGGATAATAAAATGTAGTAAATGTAATACAGACTATTTAAAATAAAAACGTGGTGTCTGTTTCAATTATGGGTATCCAATAAAAATAAACTTTGAAGTAATATATATATATATATATATATATATATATATGATCTGATGTTTAAAAGTTTGCTTTAAACCAATTCATGTCTATGAAAGGAATGTCAGAAATCAAAGATGCAATAATGATTAAATTATAAGAAATTTTTTTTTGTGCAGATCTCAACCCCAACAACAATCTCCCCACCCCCAGCCTGCTTCAATAGTACAGTATGCTGAACTACTTAGACTGACACATTTTTCTATCATACAGTTCTTTACTGATATTCAAAAAAAAAAATCACCTGCCCAGAAATTACATGTCCTTTCAAAAATAAAATCTTTCCTGTAATCATTGCAGAACTCACAGTTACAGTGAAAATATGGTGGTTGTTTTGGGTCTAGGAACACTCAAATAATTTTCCCCATATAAATTAAATGCAGTACTTGAGTGTCAGGAAGGTCTCATCAATTTACAGTTGAAATGGTTAGATCTAACCATAAATTCTATGCTGACAGTTTCTTCTATCACACTTCTCACTCATGGAACTCTTTTCTGGCTTCTTGCTTCCCAGTCAACTTTGATTTTCAAAGACTTAAATGTAATGTCATTTGTTATCTACTGTCTTCTTAATTCTTATTCTTTTATTGTTCTCTCTTCTTAACCTTTCTAGTATTCTGTTGTTGTACTCAGTAACCATTTGCATCTTAGTGGCTTTATTGCCTTGCTTGGGGTGAAATGATTAAAAAGAAAAAAATAATGGTAATTGTTTCTTTGCTATATGCTAAAGCAAAGGAGAGTAGGTATTCTAGTTTTGGTTGGCAACCAGTTTAGGAAAAGGACAACTCTGAATTCAAAACCTGAAGCTGAACAGAGATGACACATCATGTCTGTAAAAAAAAAAAAAAAAAAAAACTATGCATGATTACATTGGAGAGCAATTATCCAGAATATTCCTGTCTGAATAATCAGCAGGCAGGTTAGGTTTAAGATTTTAAGTTCACTACACCAAATTGTCCTATGGGAAAATGGCCTAGTGAATTTAAGCATTGGTTTGTGAATTTGGTGACATAGTGATTGTGAGTTTAATCTTTGCAATAGGCATTGTACACTTGTAAACAGTGAGCAACAACTGAGCAGTACTAAAAATAAGAACTAGACAATATCCTTAGACATAAGCAGTGGAACAAGAATATTCAGTTCAGAATTTCCTGTAGGTTACACAGATCAACGTTCTTCTGAGGAAGTTCAGAAGGTGCAACACCCAAAATTTTGTGATGACAACTACAAAGATGATGGCAATATAAATAGTGTAAATATTCAGAATATTGTTGACACTGATGGACACTGAGCCCAAAAAGGAAGAATGGGTGGATAGATGGATGGGATAGTGAAGGAAACCTAACATCGGAATAAAAAATATGCATAGAAACATAAATAATAAGGAATTTGAGAAGGAATAAAAGGAAAAAATGTCATGCTAGATAATTTTTGTCGCCTGAATCTGTCTTAAATATTTATAAGTCTACCATTCATCTATGCTTTGAATATTGCTCCCATATATATCTAGAGATTCTTGATAAAATCCAAAGAAGAATCTGCAATGTCATTGGTCCTGACCTGGCATCTCAGTTTAGTCACTTTCCCACTGCCATAACATAGCTTCCCTGTGCATTTTCAATAAATGTTTTCATGGTAATTCTTCTGATAAAATTTCTCTAAATTACTTAGTTCATGAGCAAGGATAGAAATTTGCAATAGAGTTCAGGTCAAGAAACTGACTAGAACACTTCATGAGGTTGACTTTCAAACTATTGCTCTCATGCATTAGTGATTTATTTAGAATCATTGTTCTGCTAAAACATCCAGTCATGCTTCACTTTTAAGCCATGACTAATGTAAGTATGCTCTTGTTCCATATATCTTGGCACACAGCTCTATAAATTCTTCCTTTGATTATGAGAAGTCATCCTGTACAATGTGAGGAAAAATAGCCTTATATGATTATATTACCATCTTTATGCTACTATGAGGAATGTGTTCTCAAGCTCAAATTGTATATTCTTTCTCCAGATTTGCTAATGTCAACTGGACCAAATAACTCTTTCAGCTGACTAAAGAATAAAGTCTCTCAGCTGACTAAAGAATATTATTCCACTGGTATCTCATCTCCAGTCACTTTCCTACCACTATAACATAGCTTTCCTGTGTCCTTTCTATAAATACTTTCATGGTAAATGCTCTGATGAACTTTTTTCTATGGTGCACATACTTTATCACTTTAAGTGCAGTACTAGATTGGCGGCAAGTTCTCATTATTTTACTGTTGAGATGGCTAGATGTAACCATAATTTCTATGTTAACAGTTTCTTCTATCACACTTGTAGAACTCGCTTCTGGCTTTGTGATTTCCAGCCAAATTTGATCTTCAAAAATTTAAATGCAATGTCAGTTGTTATCTTCTGTCTTCTTAATTCCTGTTCTTTTATAGTTCTCACTCCTTAATAAGAATTTTCTTTTCTTTTTTGTATTAGTAACCTCCTGTGTATTAGTGGCTTTATTGTCTCGCTTGGGGTGAAATGATAAAAATAAATAAGTCAAAGAGACCAATAAGAGAGTAAAAACCAATTTAAAAAAAAAACTAGCATTTTTATTCAGTGGATTTTTATAATGAAGGAAGATCACTAAAACGTCATCATGTAAACTTGTGTTACTTGCTTTCCTTATAACCGAGTAACTTTCCTTTTCATCTATGACTTCTATTTTGGAGAAACTCCAAATCAAACTAATTAAAAATTATAGTTGCAATCAAATGTGTGTGTGTTTAAAGTAGTGTGCTTTGTGAGAAAGATAAATATCTTTTCAAAGGTGCCATATTGTGAAGGTGTTTGTGATTGAGTGATTGTAAAACATTTGGCAGGCCATGAAGAAGGTGACAAAATAGAGAAAGAATACAAAGATGAAGAACATAAAGAATACAAAGAACAAAAAGTGGAAGAAGAATAGCAAGCAGAATATGAATAAAAAGAAGAAAATTACAAAGAATTCAGAGAAAAAGAAAAATGCAAAGAAGACGAAAAAAGAATAAATAAGCAGAATACAGCAAAAATAAAAATAAAAAGAAGACAAATGCAAAGAAAAACAAGGATACAAAGAAGTAGAATTTAATGAAAAAGCGAAAGAAGAATGCAAGGAGAAAGAGTGTAATGAAGAATCATATGAAGACAAGAAATACAAATAAAATAAAGAAAGAGAAAACTAAGAAGAATACAAAGTGAGATAAGGAGAAAAAAAAGAAGAATACAAAGAATAGAAATACAAAGGCAAGAAAGAAGAAAAAGAAGAAAAGAAAGAAGAATACAAAGAATAGAAATATGAAAAAGAAGAAAAGAAAGAAGAATACAAAGAATAGAAATATGAAAAAGAAGAAAAGAAAGAAGAATACAAAGTAAACAAAGAAGAAAACTAACAAGAATACAAAGAAGAAAAAACAGAGGAAGAAGAATACCAAGCAAAAGAAGAATACAAGAATTCAAAGTAAAAGAAAGACAAATAAGAAGAATATAATGAAGAAGAAAAAGAAAAAGAAGAATACCAAGCAGAATACAAAGAAATAAGAATGCAAGGAATAAGAGTGTAATGAAGAAGAATACAATAAAAACAAAAGAATATAAAAAATACAAAGAAAAGAGAGAAGAAGAATACAAAGAAAAGAAGAAAAAGAAATCTATGAAGAAAAGAAGAAAAAGAAATCTAAGAAGAATATGAAGAAAAGAAAGAATGGTGCAATGAAGGAGAAGAAAGAGAAAACTAACAAGAATACAAAGTAGAAGAATACAAAGAAAACAAAAAAAGAGAAAGATGAATACAGAGAAAAGAAATAAGAAAACAGAGAAAAAGAAAAAAAGAAAGAAGAATACAAAGATGAGAAATACAAAGAAAAAAGAGAAAAAGAAGGATAAAACTAATAAGAAATAAAAAGAAGTTGAAAATAGGTGAAGCAGCTGTAGAAAAGTTAATAACAAAATTAAAAAAGAAAGATCATGAAAAAGATGCTGATGAGGAATGTTTCGAAAGATTAAAAAGAAGTGGAAAAAAATAAAAGTATTTGAAAGAAAGAATGAATAAAAATAAGAAAACAGGGAAAGCTTCAAGTAGCAGCAGCAGCAGCGGCAAAAGGAAGAGGAAAAGGAAGCAAAGATGTTGGCATTGTTAACAGATGCTGCTATTGTCACTTAACATTTATTCTATGTTCTGTGCAGAAGGTGCTAGAAGCCCTTGTGGGGTAGTGGGGGTTTGTGCATTACAAGGGCATGCTTTGGAAAGGCTTATGAACATATTGCGGTGTCTGGATGACAGATACAACCATGCAAGGGAATACACATGTGAAGGGATGGGTGATTGTAAACACTTGGATTTACACTGCATGTGTATAGGCAGGTGTATTTAGGCTCATATATTTCGATACAGGAATGTGTTTAGCTGGTATATATTTACTTACATCTTTTTTATATATATATATATATATATATATATATATATATATATAATATTTATGATTTAAATATTTAAATAATTGACACATACAACTTTGTTTCTTTTACACAGCTGAATGTCTGGGAAAAATCAACATAAATAAATATATATATATATATATATATATATATATATATATATATATATATATATACAAAGAGCTGCTGTAAATTTTTTGGTCTGATCAACAAACCCTTCTCCACAAAAACTTCTTATGTTTGGTCAGATCTTGCCTCTTTTATTGGACTAAGAACTTTTTAGTAACCTCTTACACATACACATATATATGCAAGACGTTACAGATAAGTTCTCCATCTATATGAGACAGAGGGAGACCTACATATAGACAGAAATAAGTGGATATACAAGTATACATCCAGGCAAAAACATCTGTGGATGTTTAAGACTGTTAATATCTATTTATCTCTTCTGTTTGAATATATTTTCAATGCATATAGAATGTATGTATGTATGTATGTTAATTGCTTATATATATATATATATATATATATATATATATGTATGTGTGTGTGTATACACATGTATGTGTTAATAGATTGATCAATGGTGAAAATTATAGGCCTCCTGTCAAGCCAGTGAGCCAAGCTATTTAATTGCCTACTCATTCCTTCTAATAATTCTTTTTCTTTTGCTTTTACTTCTTTCATTTCTTTTACTACTTACAATTTTTTATCATACTTTTCCATTTTTACTTTTTCTTCATTTTTTTCTCCATTAATATTTTTCACTGAACATTATTAAAGAAATGACATAGTTCGAGAAACCAGAAAATATTAATATTCATGCTTCTTCGACAACAACCACCCCACCACCAATAATAATAATAATAATAATAATAATAATAATAGCAACAACAAGGCTTATAATAACTGCTGTTCATAATAATCATGGGAATAATCATTGCTTCTTTATATAATAATGGTATGACAAAAAAAAAAAGAGAACTGGTGGTAATAATATTGTAAATAACCATGGCAACAACAACATAATAATGCTGTTGATGATAGTAAAAATATTGTGTAACACAATAGAAATTGATGTTAACAATGATGCAGATAGTAATTTTTATGTAGATGTTGCCAATAAGAATATTGACTTAGTTAATATAAATAATAGGCAATTAATTTAATTATAAAAATAATGATCATCATAAAAAAATTAAGATCAGGTGATAGTTTAAGGACAAGAAAGAAATAATGCGTCAATTCACAATTCTTCAACCAGTATTCATTTTTTTTTATTTTCTTCTATTATTAATATTTGTGAAATTAGTGAAGGTAAAAAGAATATGATTCATGGTTTTATCAAAAAGAATAATTCTTCAGTCTGCTTTTGCCTTTATAAGATGCTTTGGAACCAATTATGCCAATTATATGGACAAAGGAGAAAATCTGTTTTTAAGCCAAACTATTGCAAATTATTGCTGCTTAATATTAAATGATCTTTCAGGAACTATGGTATTTCTTATTAAGTTTTGAGCTTAATAGTCTTTGCTTCTTTATAAAAAAAAGTTCTGCTTATAATATTTGGCTGTAATTTTTTTGATCTTTGTGTGGCGTTCTATGAGAACTTTGGGATAATTTTTTTTCAGTGTCTATTGTTGAGAGTTCTTTAATGGTTCTCTGGTAATTTATTTCTTTTTTTATTAGATGATATCTTTTGATGATTTCATGGTAATTTTGTGAGAAGCATTGTTGGAAGAAGTTCTTCAGTGATTTTGTGGTAATTTTTGAGACAATGAGTTTTGAATTATTCATTTGAAGAAATTATTGACTGTGTCCAATTTGTTCTATACATCACTTGTCATATTTCATTTGTGACATACTGAGTCATATATCTTTACATTGCAAGATGTGACATTAGAAATCTTTACTTTTTAACAATAAAAATCAGTGTTGAAACTTAGATTCAATTTTATCTAGTTCAGAGTGGCATTTTTTATGATAGTGAAAGATGCCTTCCAAAAGCTAAGCAAACTATATTAAGAAACAGAAAAATTTCATTAGAAACAAAGAAAAGAGTACTGAACTCTTATGTAATATCAATCTTTCCATATGGCAGTGAGTACTCTACAATCTCTTCAAAGATGGAGAAAATACTAGTTCTACAGAAGGATACTGATGATACCATGGACCGAACATGACAAAGGTTTAGAGAAAATGGAAACAAAAAAGATGCTTCTACTTAACATCAGGAAGAAATGACTTTAGGGAACATAATGAGGAAAGAGGGCTTGGAAAATTTGATACTCACAGGACAAATTGAAGGGAAGGAGTACAGAGGAAAACAATACATGCCCTAACTGGTAGGCTTGAGTAAATGGATGGTGGATCAATGTTTAGGAGAGATAACAAAAATACAAAATTTATTAAGAGCAACAAAACAGAAAATTGTGGAGAGCCATGATCATCTACGCCCTGAAGAGACATGGCATATAGAAATGATGATTATTGTATTAGTAATTTTCAGACTGAGTAAATATATGGGCAGCAGCATAATTCTTCAACCTGAAGAAGGACGGGCTCCATCAGGCTATCTTGCCCTTGACACACCCTTGATGAAATCAATAAGAATTCAGATCATACCAGATCAGTAGCAGCCTGGGTCAACTTTTAATCTCAGAGTGCTGCAAGGGACAGGGGCAGATGGAGAGAGAGAGAGAGAGAGAGAGAGAGCTGGTCTTTTGTAAGTCATCTGTGGTGCCCCAACAACTCTACATTGTACAAGTAAAAGCAACAAATATATTACTTTATATGCATAATGTTTATCATGAAGCATTACATAGTGTTTTTGTTATATAGTTTTAAACAGATTCTCACAACTTTACCAGTTCTTGTCATTTTGTTAGCAGATGTTGATTAAAGATGTACAAGATATGATATACAAATTAAGATATAAAAAATATGACATATAAATGAAGATGTAAAACATGTGATATATATAATCCAAGATGTAAAAGATATTATATTCAGTTCCAGATGTAAAAGATATATACAAAGAAGGTATAAAAGATTGGATATATAAGTCAAGGTCAAAAAAATACGATATACAAATCAAGATGGAAAAGATATTTCTACAAAACAAGATGTAAAAGATATGATATACAATCAAGATGTAAAACATGATATACAATCAAGATGTAAAACATGATATACAAATCAAGATGTAAAACATGATATACAAATCAAGATGTAAAACATGATATACAAATCAAGATGTAAAAGATATGATATACAATCAAGATGTAAAACATGATATACAAATCAAGATGTAAAAGATATGATATACAAATCAAGATGTAAAAGATATGATATACAAATCAAGATGTAAAAGATATGATATACAAATCAAGATATAGAAGATATGATGTATAAATTGCGATGTAAAAGATATGATACATAATCCAAGATGTAAAAGATATAATGTACAGGTCCAGATATAAAAGATATGACATATTAATCAAGATGTAAAAGAGATAACATATAATCCTTTATTTTTATTATATTTTCTTCATTTTTTATTTTGTTATATTTTATTTTAGTTTTTTTATTATTTTTATTTTACATTTAGCTTTTGTTTTTGTTAAATTTTCTTTTTTAGTATTAGTTTTTATTTTTATTATATTTTTCATTTTAACTTTTATTTTTTTGTTATAATTGCTTTTATTTTGTATTTTTATTTTTGTTAAAGTTTCTATATTTTTTAACTTTTTTTTTTTATATTTTCTTTATTTTATTATATTCTCTTTATTTTTTTAACTTATATCTTTGCTAAATTTTCTATATTCTTTTAGTTTTTATTATATATTCTTTATTTTTTGTGCTGTTTATTTTATTTTTATGTTTCCCATAACTATTTTATTTCTATATTATGTTCTGTTTTTATTACATTTAGTTTAATTTTTTATTTTTATTATATTTTTAATTTTAATCATATATTGTTTTTAGTTTTAGTTTTTACTGGCATTGTTTTTAGTCATCCCACATTTATTATGCTACAACACTGCTATTAAAATGTGTGATAATTTAAAACAATAAAAACAAAAGTGACCAAAATCTGAATGAGATTGGCTATGATGTCCAGTGCATCTAGATGTTTATCTAGATACACTGGACATCAGAAATTTGAATTCAAAGCTGTAACTGGTGTGTGTTGTAGTTCACCCCATTGCCACACACACATACAAATACCTGGCACTTGTGCTTCAGCCCTGTGCTGGTGGTATCATGGCTATGACTAGGTTAGACCGACTTGGGCCTGGACCACTGGCACTTGTACTTCGTCCCTGTGCTGGTAGTATCATGGCTATATCTAGGTTGGACCGGCTCAGGTCTGGACCAGCTATGACAAGCCAAAACCAGCTATGACTAGCTTAGACCAGCTCTGACCAAGCTAAGACCAGGTTAGACCAGTGGCCTGAGTGTTTCCATTCGGGTTCCCCATGATAAAACCAACCTTGTGTCACATCCTGACTCAGTGGGGCGTCAAGTAAATATCCATACAAATATATATATGCAAGACTGACTCCATTATTAGTCTAAAGAATTCCTTTAGAGGACAAAATGTGTCATTTAGATGTTTTTTTTCATTCTGTCATTTAGTAATCAAAAAATTCACATAAAAATAAATTATTCAATTAAGAATTTAGTTAATAATTAAATGTTATTGGTGTCACCAGTTGCAGACTGACCAGGGTGTAAGCTTGCTCAAGGCTCCTTATATCAAATAAAAATGTAATAAAGAAACAGACACAGACAATTGTTTTAGTAATAAAAAGGAAGAAGAACTTTATAAAGTCATCTGCACACTATCAGTTAGTCAAGTCCAATGTGAGAGGACATTTTCAAAGCTAAAGATCGAAAAGACAGGGTTAAGAAATTCATTGTCTGAGGACAATTTGGAATCATATATATTTCTATCCATTGAAAAGGAATTGTCAAATGAATTGATTGAAGAAATAATTATTGGAAAATTCAAACAATCATCTAGTAAACATAAATAGTTTCTCTTAACATATCAGACTGGATGCAATGCTCAGTTGTGCTTCTGAACTATCTGCTAATGTATAAATTGTGTAGTAAACTAGTTAAAAATATCAGCCAATTACTTAAAATTAAAAATATAAATAAAAATTCAGTTATAACATTCTGTATTTATATTTAGTATCTATTGCCAGTAATATGAACAGTACATGTACATTGTAATTACTCAGAAATACCCTTTTTTTTTTTTTTCACAAAATTTTTATTGAACTTTTTTTCTATATGTAATTTTTGAAAATTTTATTTGTTATGAAAATTAAATAACATTGTAGTTGCAGGTAGTATTCTTTGGACTCCTGGAAACAAATACTTTTTAGACCCAGTCTGTCACTAAAATGTTTAGATATCAGTTTCAAAAGCCCCGATCTAAGAGAAAGAAAACTCCAAATTTAAATCAGAGTTGAAACACATAGTAATCAGTTTTATAGACTGAATCTTATCTTTAGTATTCAAAAATCATACAATGTTCCAAATGCCTGCAGAAAGAACCATTTTTAAAATATTTCATTTAATGGTAATGGTGAAATTAACTGTTTCCATACAGGAAGACTTTGGGATTAATTAACTGAACAGTAAGTGTTACTTTTGGTTGAAATTGGTAAACATTTTCTCTTATTTTTCAGTTAGACTCCTCAATTCAACTTCTAATTGTTATAGCTCTTGCTATTATTGATGGGAGTTTCCTTCCAAATCTTTTGTTTAAGATAGTGTGGAATGTTAACATCTTGATTATATCATTATTCTCCTTTCTCATTACATGTGCTATCCATTTTAGTTGTTATTAGAACTGGAAGTCTTCAAACAATGTGTTACTTGTGGTTAAAATTTACAAAATCATTTTCTCATTTTTCAAGAAAGTCTTCTTTTATGTGTCATGTCCCTTCAGAACATAGGCGATCATGGCCCTCCACTTCCTCCTGTTCATGATAGCTCTTAATAAGTTATGTTTAATTGTTCAAGCACATTGAGTATATCACATGTTGCTTTCCGCTGTCCCTTTTTTCCTCTATCGATCTTATGAGTATCAGATTTTCTCAGCCCTCCATCCTCATTATCTGTCCCAGAAATTTCAACTGCATCTTCTTGATGTTAAGTATAAGTTTCCTCTTTGTTTCCATTCTCTCCAAAACTGTGTTGTTGCTCCCATGTTCGGCCCATGGTGTCCTTAGCATTCTTCTGTAAAACCACATTTCTTTTGCTTCGAGTCTCTTCGAGGAGATGGTCCAACATTGCTATACAGGAGGACAGATGTCACATAACAGTTCAGTACTCTTTTCTTTCTAACAAAACTTTCTTGTCTCTTAGTACTCTGCTTAGCTTTTGGAATGCTTCTTTGCCCATCCCAATATGTCTTCAGATTGCAATGTCGCACTTTCCATCCTCTGTTACTTCCCAGATATTTAAATTTCTGTACCTGCTTGATTTTAGTATCCCTGACTTGTAATTCACATTTGGGGTTTATCCTTTTGCTGATAACCATGCATTCTGTCTTTTTGTAGCTTATGCTTTCATTCTTCCTTTCCTTTGCTACCTTCTGTAGGAAGTTTTGTAGCTTCTTTTCTATGTCTTCTATCACCACTATGTCATCTGCATATCTTATATTGCTAAGTTTGTGGCTGCCAATGATGGATCCTGGTAGGATTTCTAGTTCTCTCAGAATCACCTTGCTGTATAGGTTGAATATGTCTGGTGAGAAGTTACAACCTTGTCTTACACCCCTTTTTATTTTTGTATAAGGGTTTGGCATGCCAGCCTTCTTCGCAAGCTTCAGGGTTATGGAATTACAGGTCGATTGTTCAACAATACAATCATTCCTGTCGAACTGTATATTGAAGGTCATTCTCAACGGATTCTCCTCCAGCTCCTATCCCACAAACGCAGGTGTTCCCCAAGGTTCTATCCTATCTGTCCCTTATTTTCATTAATGATCTTCCTGATGTCATAGGTTCCCAAGTAGGCATCTATGCGGATGACACTACTATTTACTCCTGCTTCAAAAACAAATCTAGTGTCACTGACAAAACTAACCTGCCCGTTTGTTTTGAAAAGGACCTCCAATCGGTTGTGGACTGAGGTAGGTATGGGCTGATTAACTTTAATGCCTCAAAAACAAAACTGTTTTCTATTACTCACCAGAGAGAACCATCCCTGGCTCCCATTAGAATGTCTGACGCTCAACTCCACAAGAGCACCTCTTTACAACTGCTCGGTCTCACATTATCCACTGACCTGAGATGGAACGAATACGTTGAGTCAATAGCTTCGTCCACCGCTAGGAAAGTTAGCTCCCTATGCCACGCCAGGAAATTTTTCTCACTAGAGTCAGTCCTTCAAATCTACAAATCAACCATTCGCCCTTGCATTGTTCCTTCTAATTGTCTCAAGGTCCTTGATAAAATCCAGACTTCATGAATTTAAGCACTCAACTTGGCTGGCATCTCGCTCTCACCCTTTCACTGTCAAAACTGTTAAATGTAGCTGTCTCTTCTACTCCAATAGCTTCATGTCTTGCACTTCTTACCTGTGGAACTCTCTCCCCATTTCTTGTTTTCCTGATAACTATAATCTCCAAGTATTCAAATGTAATGTCAATCAACGTCTCCAGATGCCCTGATCTATCCCCTAACAGTCTCTTCATCCTTACCTCTATCA